GATTGACAGGTGTTTGCTGGCTTGACCGTGCTGGCGGTTGGGTACTTTCCCGCACATTGACGTACGCGGTATCACGCATCCCGCGTGGGAAGTCCCGGTTATTGTCCAGCGGTGGCTGCCTCTGTGGCTGCTGGCTTGGTGCCTGGGCCTCTCTTCGGCCCCAGGCTGGGTTTCTTGGTAACGGGGTAGAAACATAGGTAGGCTTAGGAGCCGATCTCTCCTCTAGCATATGCTTTCTAAACTCCTAAACTAAACACCGACTGCTTTTCTCTGTTTGGGCAGTCAGCCGTCATGTGCGCTTCTGCGCATTTGGAGTATCGACTCTGCCTATTGCATCCCGTCATGGTGTGCCCCATATGTGACACCGGTCACACTGTGAGATGTCTTTCCTATTATTGCGTTCTTCCCATTGCACTCTGGATGCAAACACTGTGCGCACGTTTGCTCTGAGCTTTATGTGGAGACAACCAGGTACAATGCGAGGGGTGTTTCACTCATGCAGTAGGTGTACAAATATTGTCACACAAGGCCCTTTCGGCTCGTGAGGGTTAGACCTGAGGTTAGGGTTTGCTCTTCAGGAAAACACACAACTACAACGGGAATAGTGTATATTGTCGTCCAATAGGTACATTACCAAAGGGGCACTACGTAGGTGTACCACATGACTCTTGTGCTGGGGCTCTATGTAGGAATACGGGTTCTGCACATATAGGCAACGCTACCCTGCTGGAGGGTAAGACTCTCTGGGGTAAGGTGACCCTGAAGAGGAATGTAGCTACTGCTCCCTTGGGTAAGGTGACCCTGAGGAGAGAGTGATCCGAAGGGGTTAATGCTTCCTGGGGTAAGGAGACCCTGAGAAGAGAAAGACCCGAATGGATGCCGATACCATGGTTGTATCGGGTTTTTATATTCATGGCGTGTAAACATAATTTACGCGTTGACCTGCTTAAACCGCTGACTGTCGATAAATCGTGTTCTAGTTAGTTTTAATTATTTTTGATATACAGGATGGTTTTTATTTATAGACCATTAGTTGACAATATCATAAATTTATATACAGGGTGTCCCAAAAAGATACCGACAAACTTCAAGGGGTAGTAGGGGACATCAAAACAAGCATTTTTGTTTATATAAACATATGTCCGCAAATGAGCCATTTGGGCTGTAGAGCAAATAAACTGTTTGGTACTTTTATTCTTCGCAATAATTATATCACTCTTTACTTATTAATTTTGCTTTATTAATAAATAATTATGGTTCACGATAATTGTTCGAAATGTTGACGATTTATTCCAATGCAAAGATTGCACCGTCGGGTCGACTCGCGATACCTTTGGAATATTACGGGAATAGCTTCCACATGGGTACAACTCGCCAGTATCCTGGCTAACAGATTTTCCTCATTACGAACAGGTGTTTCGTAGACTAAACTTTTGGAGTTGTTGACCATTTACAACATTTTGAACAATTATTTTGAACCATAATTTATTTATTAATAATAAAGCAAAATTAACAAGTAAACAGTGATTTAATTATTGCGAAGAATAAAAGTACCAAACAGTTTTTTTGTTCTACAGCCCAAATGGCTCATTTGCGGACACATGTTTATATAAACAAAAATGCTTGTTTTGATGTCCCCTACTACCCCTTAAAGTTTGTCGGTATCTTTTTGGGACACCCTGTATATGCAGTCCATACATTCTCATGTAGTCAATGGATTACATGGACTCATGCAGTCATAATACAGTCATAAAACAGTCACTTGCAAGTTATAAACTCTGTGCGGTCAGATGCAGTAGCGTACATTCCATATACACTCGCGAAAAATTGTAAGCAGTTGCTGCGAGTGGAGCCTTCAATCTTTTCAGAAATTGCTCAAATGCAGTCAACTATCATCTTTGATGCAATCAATGCAGTCAAATACAGTAGATGTACAAAAGTTAGTGGGTGAAACACCCCTCGGTACAATGGTACAGCTGATCAAAATTACAATGAAGTAAGAACTACAATAGACATGGAGTTATTAGAACATAGGCGTTTAAAAGCTGATTTATGCATATTGTATGATATTATTAACTCCCAAATCTCATGTCCAGAATTATTGCAACAGATTCAGTTTCATATACCATCAAGGCGGTTACATTACAACTATCCTAATCTACGATGTTCCAAATAGATTTGATTTGCCTTGAAATAGCAAAAACTTTTCAAATTGAAATTCAAAATTTAGCAAGTGCCAGTACCAGTGGGGAACCTGCTTGTTGATTTTTGGAATTTTGATTTTGGCAGCTTTAACATTGGAGTTTATTTTTGTGCCATAAATTCAGTTTTATAGTGGAAAATAATGTTAATATTGGTGATTCATGGCCATTTGCACAGCTATCACTTAACTATCACTTAAGGGATATTTATTCTAAGTGGAGTTTTGAATGTGGCGTTGTTTCTACAAAAGTCACATTCAAAGCTTCAAGCCTAGTACTCATAACTGCGGAATTCGCATTTTTTTGACATTGCTTCGACAATTTGATGTTTGATACACGCATAAGACGTCAGATTGTCAACGCCACAGAACATATCACCTCTAGAAAAGTATCTGCAATGGTATGTACCGGTTATGAATTACGGCGCCCTCGTTGACTGAAAACCCAACTAATCGAGTATTCTTGACAAAAAGGCGAATTGATTTTTTTCATATATTTTTATTATTTTTGTATAATTTTTAATGTTCAACTGCATTTGGCTTGCTGACTCCTCTTAGCTCTTTTCGCCTCACTTTTCTAAAAACTATGACTGGCAGGAAGTTTCCGATGTCGAACATAGTGCAAAAAGAGTTAGTAAGTTAGCAAGAGTCACGCAGTTATAGGTAGATCGCAAAGTAAATACGAATAATAAATACAAATACGAACGAAACGAAACAAACGAATAAATACAAAAAAATACGAACAAAAATTAGGTTTTTTTTCAACCAAAACTTTTTGAATTTTCACTTTACCGCGCGGTTCAAAAACACAATTTAAAAATTCAAATTTTGACTTTTAAAATGACAAAATAAATGACAAAACCAACCAACACAAATCACTGTCCACGCCACAGATACCTGTAAATTTCTCTTATCTCCCGACAGTGTCGCCATCGTTGAATGAAAACCTAACTAAAAACCTTTGTCGCGATTCTTCCATTTGAGATATTTTTCTATAGGTGATATGTTCTGTGGTCAACGCAATGTCAAAAAAATGCGAATTTCGCAGTTATGAGTACTAGGCTTCACTTGGATTAAATATCCCAAGTTGTAGCGGTGCAAATGGCCATCAGAGTTCGAAAGTGTCCCTTTGAATATCGAGACAGCATCAATGCAAATATTTTTCTGGTTATTACCTTTCTTTTTGTTAATGGTGTATCATTTCATAATTTGGGTGTTTTTATGAATTCTTAAACGCAATAGTGCTATTATGAACGTCCTAATGACATTGTGTGTCATAATGACATCAATGTAGATTAAATGAATAATGCATCAAGTTGGTAAATTAATAGAAAAAATGGATAATAATTGTTAGCTAATGCTAATTAAACTAGACCGCCATTCAATACAAAATAAAATTCTTACATTTTCTTGAAGCTAGGTTTAAAACATAGAATAGAAAATAGCTCACCTTTTAAGAAATCAAAACGGCTTTCTGATAGAATACATTGCTTCATATGGGACGGAGTCAGGGTTTTGGCATTCCTGTTTTGGGTGATGTGTGATGATTTTTTTAGTAGAGACTCGATAAACATTTCCAATGCTTTAGGTGTGTTTTGTTAAGGAAAATAGAACATATTTTTACTGTATAAAAATGGTTACAAGCTTAACCTAACTTATTATAAACAACAAGTTTTGAAAATGACTTTTTTCGCACGAGACTGTTGGACGAAGCCGTAGGCGAGTTCCACAAGTCGAGCGAGTGTGAAAAAAGGTTTTCAAACGAGTTTTTTACAATGCTTTTCCTACAACTGCAAAATAAAACAACCAAATATGTAATTTTTATTTGTTAGAAAACAAATCGTCATTCATCAGCATCAGAAATTGGTTATAATCGCAATTTATGTTGTCAGGATAAATAAAAAAAATAATTAACAGCATGTGAATAGCTATTTATACAACAAGTTACGAAATGAGTGTCTTTTAGGCACGCGACGTGAAAATTGTCCAACGAGGCGTAGCCGAGTTGGACAACACGTAGAGTGACTAAAAGACATCGTTTCGTTACGTGTTGTATACAAGATTTTTTCTACTGGCGTTTCATACTGAAAAAAAGAAACATAATTTTATTCCTCGTAAATAAGAGCCGATCGCGCCAAAAAAGTTTGGCACCTGCTTTTGATTGACATCTTTCATGAGGTTTTTTGATTGAAAATTGAAATCCTATTGAAAAAAACAACAGAAAGTTCTGTTTTGAGTAACCCAAACGTTTACTTTAGTAGTTCAAATAATTGCATTGACAACATTTATGAAAAAATAGACAAAATTCAAATCTGTGTGTTTTATTTCTGAACAATGAGTGACACTTTTAGGCACTAGTGCTTAAAAGTGTCACTTTTACGCACTAGTGCTTAAAAGTGTCACTTTTACACACTAGTGCTTAAAAGAATGCCATTTAAAAACTAAAATGACAATCGAAAAGTCGCTATTATGAAACGTCAGTAGAAAAAAACTTTTTTGCATTCTGAGGAGCGTGTGAAAACTACCCTATTTTCGAAGGTTGCCTAGCGTGCGAAAAACTTCATTTTCAGAGGCAGTTGTACGAAAAAAAATTTACATTGCTAAGTTAAGTTTTTTCAATGCTTCCTTTGGACAGTGTCCAATAATACCAAAAGGCACTTACGCCAATGCAAAAATTTGATGTTGCATAAGCCCTAAAGAATTTAACAACAATATCATATGATCCTTTCTATACCATATTGCACTCTGAAAGAGAAAACGATGTTATGTAAACATTAGACCAATAATTCAATAAATAATATCAGTTAAAAAGGATATAGATAATGACTGGTACTGCTTGTGCCACTTTGCCCACTTCCTCATCCGTTTGCATAATTTTTTTGATGCGACTCTGAAACAGATTTATAAAAATTCCCTATTCATTTTGTTATCGTTTTATCGCTAGAAGTTATTGTTCACTTTCGAACAACGCACTTACCGCTGGAAAACGGGCATTGTATTTCTTCTTTTTCGACGGCATTCTATTTTTTTTCGTCTCGACACGACCACAATTCAATAAACAGCTAAAATTTGAAAAAAAAGGTGGAAAATGAGATATTTTCTCTTGCAGAAAAATTTATTATGACAGGTTTAGGATTTCGGGAAGGTTATGTTTGATTCAATTTTCTTCTCTTCGTTTTTATTTATGTCGATTATAGCGCTTTCTTTTTTTGTTTTAGGTTTTAGTTTTAACCTTAGGGGCCGGTTTTTCAATAGCGAGTCACCACCGGGTTAAGCATAACTCCGGGGTAAACATAGCTAGAAACGCTTACACTGGAGCTAAAACCAACTCGGAGGTGACTCGCTATTGAAACCGGCCCTAGGACATTTAAGCAGTTGATCCAAGTTCCGACTCTGTTCAAAGTCACCAAAAATTAGCGTTTTCACCATGCAACAGTATAAAAACGATTATAGAAAGATCCAATCATCAATCCCTTGTCTAAGGATCAAATAGTATTCCTTCCAAATCCAAATCAACCAAATCGGGGGCGACTAACACTGTAGCGAGTAGCTCGAGTGTTCTAAACTCTTGAAAGGAATACAACTATTGAAATACAAAAGTGCAGCGCGGACTCTGCCAATGGATCACGAATATTGCACCAGTGTTGCACTTGATCTCTACCAATGATATACGCTATTAGAGGCTTTAAGGCGTTTTCTCGCGTCTCAAATGTTTCAAAACATTTTTCAAAACTAGTTTATGTAATGTCATCATGACGTCATAATTTCTTGGCGCGAGAAAATGGTTTGAAAACGTGGATTAAATTGTATTTCGAAACTGTTTGAACCAGTTTTGATGTGACGTCATGGGTTTATCGCGAGAATGTACTGTTTCAAAACAGTTTTGAACCAGTTTCAAAAAAGTGGACGCGAGAAAACGACTTTGGTCTTGGTAGAGGTTTTCATTTTGAATCTGCATGCCTAATCTGAATTCCCATTCTCAAAACATCATTCTCGTGAGGATCGAGAACTGTGTTCCTCTACTTGGAGCAGATACAAGTTATTGAACATACCGTGCGTTCGGTATTTTGATCTGAGTTCTCCGAGCTTGAATTTACCGTTCGTTTATTTATATAGAAAATGTGCTCAGTGCAGGCACATTTGCGTTCTTTTATTAAAATTTCCAGCGCTCTGATACAGCGTTTAACTGCTTTGTGCGGTCGTTAGTCACGTGATACGGCTGCGCTTCAGCATGCTCTGAGGCGAGTTGAGAAATAACACACCGAGTGTGAATGCGATTTTATGGGTGTGACTGAAATGACAATTCTTAGGCGACAACTTTCGTATGAATTTCTGAACGCTTGGTGTGACCAATTGAGCATCTCCTCAAAAATTTCACCAAATGTATTAAGATTACTTTTTTTTGTTGTTCGTTTTTTTAATTTGAAGAAAAAACTTAATTCTTATTTGTATCTTGTTTATATTTGGTGGGATTAATGAGATTATGGGAGGAATGGTTGACATTGTTGACATAAAGACACAATCAAAAAATTATGGTGTGACGTGTGACCGGTGCGACACCTGGAGTGTGCCAAAAGTACTTTCTGAACGGCACAGAGTGCGCGCACTCGGTGTGCCTATAGCATTTATGAACGGCCAGTGCGTCGCACCGGTGTCACACTCGCGCTGAGTGTGTCATTCCTAAACTCGCCCCTGCTCTTCAAGCAAATACCGAACGCACGCAAAGAATGAAAGAAGAATTTTCAGCATAACCTACTTTCACTTTGACAGACATTCATATCAAAAATTAATCCAAAGTTATTTTGTTGTTTTGTTTTGGAGATTCTTAATTTTATCAAAAATGGATGTTATCAATAATTTAAATAAATCTGAGACTCTTTTGGTTGTTTGTAACGACGAGGAAATAAGCAAATACAGCGATGCCGTCAAACAGTTTTCCAAATTCAAAGTTTCTACAATCGAATCGCTTAAAGGTAAATAACAATGACCATGCTAGTTTTTATTTCAAAATAAAATTGCGCAACAAAGCAACTTTCTTATTATTAACAATTATAGATGTAGAAATGAACAGCATAACTAATGCTGTATTATTTGTGGAACCAACCCCAAAAACACTTAAGGAACTCCTCGCAGTCCTGCAGCCGGAAGGCAAACTTATAATCAACAACTTGTCCGATGCTAGCCAGGTTGAATTTAACTTGAAAACCAACGGATTTATGAATGTCCTTAAAGACGAAGTTGGAATTACAGCTTCTAAGCCAAAATTTGCTGTCGGTTCTTCAGCCAAACTTAATTTGAAGAAACCAACTGTTTGGAAGTTGGACGACGGCGATGATGACGATCTTATCGATCCTGACGATCTGTTGGACGATGATGACTTGAAGAAACCTGATCCTACAAGTTTAAGAGGTAAGATTTTATTTAAGAATATGTATTAAATATCCTGTTCACAATCCGATGTCCACAGGTGCTGGTAAATTTATCACCTTTCCCTATCAAATAGCATTGGAAAGGTGATAAATTTTACCGGTACCAGTGGACATCGGATTGTGAACGGATATTAGGTACTTGATCAACTTGACATTAGCATTAGATACCTATTCAATAGGAGTCCCGGAAAATTGTTCGAACGGAAAATTCTTCAAAAGGAAAATTGTTCCAAAGGAAAATTGTTTGATGGAAAACTTGTTCGAAAGGAAAATTGTTCGAATGGAAAATTATTCGAACAGAAAATTGTTCGAATGGAAACTTGTTCGAAAGAAAAATTGTTCGAATGGAAAATGGTTCGAGTCTCAGAAAGTAAATTTGGCTTTGGTACAAAAGAGTGTAGCTCATAAGGGCGCAGGTCATAATATTATTGGCAACCAGTACACTTCTAACCACTGGCCAAGTTCGTTTATGTCATCTCTTTCGTCAATTTGCTCGGAAATTTTGACAGGCACGTGGTGACTGGATCAGACAGTTTCAATTTACAAATCACGTGCCTGTCAAAATTTCGGAGCAAATTGACGAAAAAGATGACAAAGACCACTATTAAATGAACTGTAACGAAACTAACTCATAATATGCAAACTAACCCATACACGTAATGCATGCTAGTCCTTGTGTATGTTACCAAGCGCGCTTCGCGCTCCTATTGTCAAGCAGTACGCTTTCAACCAGTATTAGACGAACTGTGATAAAACTAACCAAAATATGCAAACTAACCCAAACAAACCAAAAATATGCAAATTAACCTGTTCACCTACCTAATGCGTGTTAGTCCTTGTATGTTAGTATTGAATTTAAAAAGCCAAGAATTAAGAATTAGGGACAAATATTAAGAATCAAGAAATTGGGTTAGGTTGTATAGGTTGTATATATTTCAGATTTAAAACAGAGTTTCATAGCGTTATCAAAATCTTAAAACTAGGTTACAATCAATTACAATAACAATTAATAAAATACTATATCACTTAATGGGTATATCACATCTGTATAAAAAATTTTAAACATTATAAAAGGACAGTACTAAGTAACTATGAACGGTTAAGACTATTCAAAACAAGTTAAAAATCCAAATCTGTGACCTGATATTGCAAAAATTCTTCTATTGAATAAAAGCACTTACTTAACAAGAATTGCTTGATTTTATTTTTAAATGGCTTTATTGGAATGTTTCGTATCGTATGAGGCAGTTTGTTGAAAAATGCCGGTGCATAATATCGCGTTGCGCTCCAGGAGGTTTTTAAGCGTGAAAAGTCAATCTGCACGTTATAACGTTGGCGAGTGTTGTAATTATGGACCTCTTCGGCACGAGTGTAGTTTGAAGAGTTACTATGAAAATATAGTAGAAACTCTAGGATATATTGTGCTGGAAGAGTTAATATTTTTAGGTCCCTAAAGGATGGCTTGACATCATCTCGGTATTTGATGCCAGCTACAATTCTAACTGCTCTTCTCTGCAGGCCAAAGATGCGAGAGGTATGACATGAGTGTCCCCATGCTAGGAGTCCATAGACGCTCACTGAATGAAATAGACCATAATATGCCATTTTTGATGTTTCTTTATCTACAATTTTCGATATATTACGAAGAACATAGATTGCGGAGCAAAGTTTTTTTGAAATAATGTTGACATGCTGCTCGAAAGTCAGCTTCGCATCCAATGTAACTCCTAAAAATTTGATTTTTTCTGGGTCGTCTTGAATTGTAGTTTTCTTGAGAGAAAAGATTATGTTTTCTGTTTTACTTTGGTTGACATTCAGAAAATTGGAGTTGAATCATCCGGACAGGGCAGCTGCAAGGTCATTTATGTATATAAGGAACAACAGTGGGCCCAGTACCGATCCCTGAACCACACCGTGCCTCATGACTCTCTCCTCTGAGCGCCTACCCTCCAACTCCGTGATCTGCCTTCGTCCCGAGAGGTACCCAAATATCAAATTCACGCTGAATTCACAGAGCCTGTAGTATTTTAATTTTTCTATAAGGATATCATGTGATACACAGTCGAAGGTTTTGGAGAGGTCACAGAAGGTGGTGGACACAATCTGCCCCTCCTCAAAGCCCTCAACTATGAAATCACAGAGCTTTAGTATTGCCCCAGTGGTGGTTCTGCCCCTTCTAAACCCAAACTGCTCTTCTATGAATAAGTGGTTTCCCTCAAAGTACATGTAGAGTTGGTCCTTCAAGAGAACCTTAAGGATCTTGGAGAAGACGGGGATCAAAGAAATTGGTCTGTAATTTGATGGTGATGTTTTGTCTCCACTTTTGAAGATTGGCACAGTTTTACTAATTTTGATCTCTTCAGGGTAAGCACCTTTTTGGATACATTTGTTGAAAATTTTTGCAAGCGGATAACAGAGAATCCCACCAAGTGCCTGTATTAGCACTACACTAAGGTCATAGAAGTCCTTGCTGTGCTTTTTTTTAAAATTATTAAGAGCTTGAAGAACTTCAAGTGGGACTACACTGTGGAAAGAAAAGTGCAGGTTTGGGTCTCCTAGGTTACTGCTCTGCATATACAGAACTGGCGATGTGTCGGCTGCTGGTAGATTATGATTGAGGTTTTCAGCTATGTCAGCAAAATAATCATTACATTCATTTGGGTCTATATTTGCATTTGCTTTAGAAGTGCTGTTTGGCATATATTTTTTTATTAGATTCCATGATGCTTTTGCAATGTTATCAGAATTCCGGATATAATTTGAATTTGCTTGTTTTTTTGAGTTTTCTATTTCATTTCGGTACCTGTTCCTCAGTGTGTTTCTCTCTGTCCGCAGCACAGGACAGTCAGTTTCTGAGCACATTTCATTTAATGTGTTTAGCTCATGTCGCAGCATCTGTAGTTCCTCTCCAAACCACTCAGCTCCGGGTTCCTGGGTGCTTTTCTTTGGTCGTCTAGTCACTGGAAGTGCAATGTCTCGATATGATAGAAATCTCTGAAAAAATTTGGTGGTACTCATTTCAGCATTGTCAGTTTCCAAGAATGACCAGGTTTCATCCTTCAGCAAGTCGCACATCTTTGCAATTCCTATTTTTGTTATGGGACGGTAAAGAGATTGGTCTACTTTTGAAAATTTTTTAAAATAGGGATGACATTTATTTCACATTCGATTGCCCCGTCATGATCAGACAGATTTGGATTAAAAACATTTACTTTACATTCACACACATTTTCAAGATTTACAAAGACATTATCAAGACGATGGTTTTTACGTGTATTTACAAAGACTTTTTCCCTATAATCATATGATTCAGTGAGATCTAAGAATTTATGTTTAAGGTTATAGTCCCTCTCAAAATGTATGTTAAAATCGCCATTCAACACAACATATTTCTTTAGACTTAGACACACATCCAAAATACTATCTGTAACATTCAAAAATATACACTGCTCAACAATTGAAGTGGATATTTTAAAATTTTGTATTTATTTTGTCGATACTTCAAAGAAAAGTAAAAAATCATGTAAAATAAAAACATTTTATTGATTGATTATATCACCCCAGAAAAAAAAAAACAATTTTTAATGCAAAATTTAACATTTAAAAGAAAACTGTTTAAATTGGGAGGAGTAACAACACAAAAAAAATCTTGTATCGCAAAATTCACAAAATCCCTATAAAAAAATTAATATCGTGTTGGACCTCCTCTGGCCCGCCTTAGTACTGTCACTCTATTCGGAAGGCTCATTATCAAATTATTGATGAATTGCTGAGGTATGATTTGCCAAATTGCCTGCAACTCATTAGCCAACTGTTCTAGGGTTTGGGGAGGTTGTGGAATCCGGTTTAATCGCCTAGACATTTCGGCCCAAACATGTTCGATACAATTCATATCTGGTGAACAGGGTGGCCACTCCATTCTTGTGATTCCATGATGTTCTATGCGATCGTTCACAATTCTCGCACGATGCGGACGGGCATTATCATCAATTAATACAAATTGTTCACCTATTGCACCAAAAAATGGGACGACTATCGGCTCTATAACCATGTCTCGATATCGTATGGCAGTCATTGTCTTATTAATTAAGATCACTAAATCAGTGCGACCATTATGACATATGCCTCCCCAAACGCAAACTGACCCACCACCAAAAAGAGTTGTCGGGGCCATTAAATGTTCACTGTATCGCTGTCCTCTTTCTCGCCAAACCAATATTCGACCATCACACGTATACAAACGAAATCTAGACTCGTCGGTAAAGAGGCAGTGCCTCCAATTTTCAACAGTCCAAAGACTATGGTCTCTCGCCCAGCGATATCGGCATGCACGCTGCTCCGCCGTCATTCTTGGGTGGGTAGCGCGACGTCTAGCCCTCAAGTTACATGCATGCAATCTTCTTCTGATAGTTTGACCAGAAATCACTCTTCCAGTAGCTTGTCTGAAAAAGCTGTTAATTCTTGAAGCCGTGAATGTTCGGTTTCTTCTTGCAGTCAGGACTATGAAGCGGTCTTGAGCAAGAGTTGTAGCTCGTTCCCGTCCTCCACCATGTGTGTACGCTGCAGACCCAGTTGCTAAATACCGATTCCACGCACGACTCACGACACTTTGAGACACATTCAGCCGCACGGCGACTTCTTCTTGAGACAAACCTTCCTGTATCCAACGCAATAATTGCTCGAGTTGCACTGCTTCTAATCGTCGTAACGGCATTATTCTTTAAGCAAATACGCAAAACTATTGATAACAGTAGCAAAATCAAGTGTGTACAAGCGGTTCTGTAGAACTGATACTTTCAAATTTTAAAACAATATTCCTGCATATTTCCGTGAAAGAGATAAGGGAGAGAGAGCATCGACAAAAAACAATAAACATGCAAAAAATATTCGCCATAAATACTATTTATTGATAAAATAAAACACGTCTTTTTTTTCATATTCTCAAATGTAGATTTCAGGATTTTTGCAATTATCCAGTTCAATTGTTGAGCAGTGTATTAAAGTCTCCATTGGGTGGACGGTAAATAGTTATTAATAATAGGTTCAGTCTTTTTATCTCTGTGGCACTTACTTCGACATGTTCTGCTACTGACTGGCTTGTGACTTCATCATGTGTCTTCGTTTCCCATAGGGGGTTATACATGATTGTTGATCCACCATGTTTGCTGTTCTTCCGGCAAAAGGATGATCCCATTTTGTAATCCAGGATTTTGAGATGTTCTAGCTCGTCCTGCATCATGCAGTGCTCCGTGAAACACAGGACATCATATTTTGTTCTTGATTTTATGGTGGCTTCTATTTCTCCAATTTTGTTTCTGATAGAGCAAACATTTGCATAAAATATAGAGAAGATTTGTGTTTGTGGGTATGGGTTTTGGTTTTGTTTTTGTTTTTTATATGCTTCTTGGTCTCGGGTTTGTGATTTTACAAGAAAAAATCACCTGATTCCTTTAGAAATTCTGTGTGTTTGGTAAAATTGAACCTTTTAATTCCTACAGAGTTTGGCCAGAAGTTGGTGTCGTAGAGTTCATCTTTTTTTGCAAGAGGGGCTACAACAACAAAGCATTTTTGCTTTTTTGGATCGCTAGGTAGTTCTTTTACTGCGATGTTTTCATTGGTGAAGCCTGGTTTAGATTTTATATAAGTGGTTACCATTTCTTCGGTGGTATGCCTCTTTATGCGATTTATATAGAGCCAAGCTCTTCGATCGCATCCCGAGAATCCATTTTTCTCATTTTCTGGTGTAACTTCTGCTTGTCCCAGCCGTTTTCTGTAGGTACGCCTTTGGTGCTTTTGGTATGAGAAGTTTTGTTTGTCTTCTTTATCCTGTTCAATTTGTGGTTTTGGAGGATCAGGAAATGCGGCCAGGTTTGTTGTATTAAAGGAATGGCGGTTTCCCCTTGGAGAAATAACAATCCCATTATCTCCTTGATAGTCTCGAGAATGTCTGAAGGGGACATCCTTTTGGTGTGGTTTTTTGGTGGTTGAGGTTGCTGGGTGCTGTGGTCGAGGTGATTCAGGTTCAGTTCTATAGTTTATGTTGTTTTTGTTTGCTTTCTGATCAATCTTAAATTCTAACAGTTGTAGGGTAGGTAGGGTAACTCCGGCCATAGATTCACAGTTAAACTATTGATTTTTCGAAAAAAATAAATAAATAATCCCTTTGAACAATTATTTTGCAACAATTTTCCGTTCGAATAATTTTTCCGTTTAAATAAATTTCCGTTCAAACAATTTTCTGTTCAAATAATTTTCTGTTCGAATAAATTTCCGTCCAAACAACTTTCCGTCCAAACAACTTTCCGTTCGTTCAATTTTGAACAATTTTTCGTTAGAACAATTTTCCGTTTGAACAATTTTTTTTAGAACAATTATTTTCGAACAATTTTCCGTTGACGATTCATTAGATTGTACTGTACCTACTTAAGTACACAGTCAGTACAGATCTTTTTTTTTCCAAACTTTCTATCTGTTTTCTAATCACTTCCAAAATTTCAATTCAAACCCTCAAGTTTTAATATTTTTCTCAAAAACAAACCAATGTGGTTTTTCAAAAAATTGGATTTTTTTCTGCAAGATTAACCCAGATTTTGACACTTACATTCAGTAGTTTAAATGTGCGCTCCAGTTTTTATTAGTTTATCTACAAGCGTTTGGTTATGACGTTTTTACATAACCATTTTTCTAGTATTTGAGTTATGTCATGAGACTCCTAACACAACTAGTGATGTTATAGACTAGGTTATGAATTCATAACACAACTAGTGGTGTTATGGAAGAGGTTATGAATCTATAACATAACTATTTTTGGTGATTTGACAAATGTCAAGGGAAACCTGTAAAGGTAAAATAAAGGTAGACAACTACTAATAAACGGAAATAATTGTAAAACCATCCTTATTTTTCGCTTTGTAGATAAAACGTTGTACATCACGCACGTGCGTTTCAACATGATTACAAGACTCGTGTGATTAGAACAACTCGGTCTACAACCTCGTCGTTCTAATCTTTCACACTCGTTATTGTAATCATGTTCATAAACGCACTTGTAATGTAAATAACTATTTTACCATTTAAAAATTAAAATTTCAATTTTACGTCAAATTACTCAGGAAAAAAACCAGTAATTCAATCAATAATATACAAAATTGCTTGGGTGTAGCATAACAAATGTGAAATTTACATTAGAAATTTTAAACAATATAATAATAATTATAAAAACTGAAAAAAACATAGATGATAAATAAAGAAATTTATCATTCAGTCTTGAGAGTAAATTCATTTATCAGTTAAAAAGTTTTTTGTGCTTCCAATTTTCAACAATAAATATTTCCATAGTGTGTATACAGAGTGTAGTTCAAAAATGTCTTACTCAAAGGAAATGACAGCAGAAGATAATAATAATAATAATAATAATTCGATTTTCAACCAATTATCATTCTATATAAAATAAATCGTTTTTAGTATGTGGCACTACTGGAGTGAGGAAAGCATGCAAGGATTGTTCTTGCGGTCTTGCCGAAGAACTAAGTCAAGAAGTAAAAACGGGCAAACTTGTGGATACTACTGATGCCCCAAAATCTTCCTGCGGAAGTGTAAGTTGTACCTTTTTTCTTATATTTTTATATAATAATTTTTATGTAATAATTTTGCCCTTTTTAGTGTTATTTAGGGGACGCTTTCCGTTGCGCCTCTTGCCCCTACCTTGGAATGCCTGCTTTCAAACCTGGCGAGAAGATCCAACTGAGCACTTCCCAGTTGAAGAGTGATATTTAATTTAGTTCCTTCGGATTTTGGTTACTATTTATTTGTAGTATATCGGTTTTGGTTGTTTAATTAATTTCAAATAAATGTTAGTGAATAATTAATAAATTGTGGATGTTTTTTTTTTGAAAGATACTAAGCTACTGACTGACTAAATACTTTGGGCATTATTTTTGCTATTCATATCTCTACAATAATCAATAAATAATAATGAAAATTGACAATACATATTCCAAATTGGTTGATTTTTGTATTATGGAGTGAAGCCACTAGCTTTTCATTTGATTGAGGCATTGCAGGTCTTGTATCCAATTTTTGTTAATGTGTAGACAATTAATTCAAACTGATTGGATGGGCGACAAAAACAAAATTCATCATATTGTTTTTTACATGTGATATATTTATTTTGATTTATAAATTAGTAATACAAAAATGTGGAAAACAATTGCTACAAATGATAATATAGTTATTTGTTTTACTAGGCAGAAAAGTACAAGACTTAATGCCGAGGCTGGTGTTTCATAGCCGAGGTTAGGAAACCAGCCGAGGCATTAAATCTGCTTTTCTGCCATGTAAAACATATAATTTTTTCTCCGAATGTTCAAATTTACACATGGACATCTTTTTTATATTTATTTCATCCATTATTATTATTATCCAAATAAATAAATTATTTTGACAATTGTCATTGTCACCATCAATTTCAAATACCAAATTGAGTGAAATTATTACCTGGAACGTTGTGACACTGTCACTTTTAATGCCTAGGCAGTAAAAATACAACTTTTGATCCTATCAAGTGTCATTGAAAGGCCGCTTTTACTGTCATTCGGAGAAAAATAAATTTACTTATGTACTGTAAAAAAAAGTTTATTCATATAACATACATAATTGTTTTGATAAAATCAAAATACATATAATAAAAACTAAAACTATAGTAGAAATGCAGCTTGTGCCAAATGTTGCTTGAGAAATTATTATTTATTTACTTACTCGCATTGAAACAATATGGACAAGTTAATCGGTATTTGGCACAATGAAATCATATTTTAGAGGGGCGATTAATTTTTCATTAATATTTTTGATAAATATTTTAACAGAAATTCGATCATTGGTGTGCAATAATGTGTCTGATAAAACTTCTCGAGAATATATATGATTCATAACAATGAAGTTACATTACTTCAGGGAAAAATCTAAAAATCAATAACCAAGAATCAAACATATTACAATATAAAACAAGATAAGACAATTTGGTGGAACTAAAACTTAATGTTGCATTCTAATTCAACTCCCATCAGAATCATTACACACACTGTTGATTGAATATAAACTTTTTTAGTCAAATTTACAAACAACTTCATATGCCTTCATAATTATACACTTTGTACTATGTATATTATGTATGTATTTACAAAAAATAAGCTTAAAAAAAAAGTCTCAGCTTTTTTGCAGTCTTTTTTTCTTCTTTTAGAGGACATTTTGTTTTGCAAAGAAAATAAATACCTAAAGCTTTCTTTCTAGATATTTTAAAGGTGTGGGTAATCATTACAGCAAACTTAATTAAACAATCTTATGTTTTAGTATTATCAAAATACATTATGCTACATCAAATAATTCGAATAGGCCAAATTTGCGAATATCAGGCGCGATATCGGTTCTTAAAATTTTTGTTGTCACTATTTATTTATTTATTTATTATACAGTGTGTCCACAATAAAATAAATTCCATTAGGGAAATCAAAATCTTTAGCTCTCTTGTTCTGTAAGTTTTGTATCTTTTATAGTCTTTTCTTGATCTGCTAAATGTGAGAAATATGTTGAATCATAGAAAGCCTGACATGTTGAAGATACAAAGTTGTATTCGAATTCTGGAAGAAAAATGTACAACGTACAGTTTATAGCAGTGCACGATATACGAATTGCTCCAAATTAGCATAAAAATGTACTTGCCTTTCATGCCTTTACTGGCTATGATTCTACTAGCCAATTCGTCGGGCTCAGGAAAACGACGTGTTGGAAAATCTATTGGGGAGCCGAAAATTTTTGTGGAAATATTTTTAAGCCCATGCAAATATTGGCAACATTCATACATGGCTCTGTTCAGTGGAGTATCACCATAGGCGTTTTTCTGATCTACTTCAAATGCCTTTTCTTCTATCAAGTATTTTACCCATTTCAAGCTTCCATGTTTAGCCATCCAATGCAACACACTGAATTGTTTTACATCGCAACAGCTTATATTTTCAATGATGGGGTCTAAAACCTCTAAGACTTTAATATGTCCGTACTCTGCTGCAAGTAGAAACGGAGTCTTCATTTCTTTGAAAATTGCATTCACATCGAACCTTGATCAAATGTTCTACCCATTGATAGTGGTTATTGCGACTCAGGGCATGTACAATTGTCTTTCCATTACTTTTTTTCCTATTCACATCAAATCTGTTGCGCCCCAGCATGAATTGTATCATTTCATCATCAGATTTCTGCGTATCGCACGATTTAAACAGGCAAGTGTAAAATTCTGGAGTGTAATTTTAGATAGAGTAAATTTATGATCGTTATATACAACCTCAGACATCAGTTGCATAAATCTAACGACGAAGAATCATTTCAAATTAGTTCCAGCTTTCAATCTTTCAGTGCAAACGAAAATCATTACTAGAAGACTTTTATCGGCAAGTGCTCGCTACTATAGGAAAAACGAAATCTTTAGCTCTGTTTATTCTCTATGTTCTGTAAGTTTTTGTATCTTTTATAGTCTCTTCTTGATTTGCTTGATGTGAGAAATTCAAGATAAAAAAGTAGTCCATGGTGGGGAGGATGGTTTAAACGTTTGATCAGACTAATCAAGGATTTGCTAAAGAATGTCCTGGGAAAATCGCATTTGTCTCTAAAAGAGTTAATCACTGTTCTCTGTGAATGTGAATCTGTAATAAATTCATGACCGCTAACCTATATTTTCATAGAACATCCTTATTTTTACCTGAAGCTTTTTCCTATAAAACATTTCATCATGGACTCACTGTTTAAAATTCATGTCAAAATGAAGAAAAACAATTATAATAATAAACCTTTACATTAAGACATTTTGGTCTTTTGATATGAACCGATAAATTTAAACAAAATCGAACCAATGAAACTTTAGAATCACTTTTAAGGCCTATTTTATAATAAACTAATTTTTTTTTTTGTTAAAAAAAATAATTGAAAACTTCAACACTTATTCACTCTATAGTAGGTATCTCTGTTCAATATAATTTATTGTGCTTTTAATAGTGAGTAAATATTAACAAAAACAATAAAATTAATTGTTAAATATCTACTCACCAAAAAAACCTCCGACACTTCATCAATATGTAGGTATTATTTTTGTTAAATCTTTGGCAATTTTAATTAGTTTATCATTAATATGGTGTGGACGCTTCCGAACAAGTCGAATCCTGTCTGCAGCTCAATGAGTGCTGTAAGGCCATCGGAGTTAACCATTCCTTGGGTAGGCAACGTTCAAGAAATGGCACCCAACTGCTGAAATAGGCCAGACGGTTCACCCATGACGGTATGTCTTGTCCGCATAATATCTGTCGAAAATAATTTATTATGAATTATTATATTTGATCAAATTGAAAATTGAAAAATTACCTTTGTAAATGACCCTGAAAAATGATTACAATTGTTGTTCATCAAATGATATCTATCGCCTCGAAATTCTTTGCCTAATTCGTTTACGATTCTTTTAACATCTTCCTCGGTGAAATCTGTATAGCCAATTTGGATAGTTTGTCTGGAAAAAAATACATAGGTACTTTAATTTTTTGTTATCTCAACTAATTCTATATGGCATAATGACGATAATTACTTACCTAAATCTAAATTGTTCGCCTAATTCTTTTTCGTCTCTAGGGTTAATTTCGAATATTCCTGTAAATGGAAACTGATGACCACCATAAGCGTACTCGGTATTGTATATTTCTACACCTGCAACAAAAAAATAAGGAAAATTGATATCTGTGAAATTCTATAGCCAAAAGGAGCCAGCAACAAAAATTTCGTTCAGTGCCGCGTAATCTAGAAGAAAAGAACTTCTGAACGCCGAAAACCACATCCAGAAAAATTATTCCAAAAAAAAAAATGAGAACAAAAAAAAAAGAAAATGGTTTTAACCTATGTGCTATTTATGCTGTGCAGTGTATCACGTGGTATAGATTTAGGTCACACAATCTCCCACAGTAATTACCTGCTTGGATAGAGCACCAACAGGTATAGATCCATCTGCTGTTATTTCCCATGTTATATTGGGTAAATTAAAGTCACCCCAGATATAGGGTTGCCAGATTTTCAAAATTGAAAAGGGGGAGATAGTCTACGGGAGGAAAAAATAGTATATTGTGTATTTAGGTGGAAAAGTAACACATTCTCGGCCGTCGATGTAAGTTGACGGGCGGGGCGTAGCCGAGGCCGGCAAACACCGAAGGCCGAGAATGTGCTTTTCCACCAAAATACACATACTATTTTTTCTACGATCGGTTAAGTAACTGTTAAATGTTTGTCTTTTTGCTCCAATTGTTCAACAGTACGAGAGGCCAGAAAAGTAATTCCCGTATTGTTATTCATTAATTCCTTAGCAACTATTGGAACATAATTTAAATACCAAAATATTGAATTTTGCAATCTGCCAACTGATCAAAAATGCTGACATTTCTTGTCAATCGCGGATTTTTTTTTTTTGGTGGTGCCACGCTCTAAGTTTGCCACTTTTTATCATACATATGGGCCTGTTCGGGTTTGGAAAAAGGACAGTTCTAGAACGGTTCAAAACCATCGCACAAATTTTCAATCAATAAAATGACAACGGCTCAGCGCTCTAAGGACTCAGCTATCACAAATTTCAATAATAAACTGTGGGATTATTTCGAATCAACCATCCTTTTGTCAACCCGAACAAAGAGGAAAAGTTTTGTCGTCAAAACTTATGACAGGTAGGTAGGTATCAAAATCTGTTGTACAGAAAAAACTGATTCACCCAAAATAGCGAAAAATAACAAGAGCCGTCAGTCGGGTGTCCAATTTTTTATGCTCACAACTGTACTTATGAAAGTTTGTTATTCCCTGTATAGTAGGTGAGCCGGCAATATTAACAGGTATGTGATCATTGCAATGGAAAATTTTTATATAAAAGAATAGCTCATAGTTACCTTCAAACTAAATGGATGGATTGCCTTGATTCTCATGGTTACAACCCTTTGGTGACTGTGCATAAATTACCCTTATTTTTTCGAAGGAACAATGTTATCGTTGCAATAGCTGAAAATTGGTAGATATATTCTTTGATATGTCTTCTCAAATAATATACAGTGTGTCCCGCTTTTCATGAATACACCAATACAGTAATTTAAGCGACGTCCGTATAGTATAGTGTGAAGGTGCTATGTCAGTTTTTCTCAGTTTTTTGGTGGTTTTACTTAACTAATAATTATGATTTTTATACCAGTTGTACTTTACCATGTCTAAAAACTTTTGTGTTAATCGCACGCATCGCCAAATATTAGAAAGGTGTTATTTTATTGCCATTATTGGATTTCAATCAAGATCAATGGGACGAGGTATTCAAACAACGAACCAAAAATAAACAATTTTTTTCGAGAGACGATAGAATTAAGTTTCCACTTCAGTAAACTTTGTTTTTAAAAAACATTTATTTTCAAAACTAAGTACATATTACAAATGAAAACTTTAAACTTAATCTAAATGAGACAAATTACTGCGAGGAAATCTCGAGAGTAAATGAATGTAAAACAATAGCTGCAAGCGTATTTTATAATAAAATAAATGCTAGCATAAGCAAGTTACATATTATTGTTTCGGGAGAACAAAAGGGTCTTTATTGAGTTCCAATATAAATCCTCCCTCCTTAGGTGGTTGCAAATTGGTCTTGATGTACCAAGTTAGGCAACTCAATTTGAATCTCAGTTTTCACATTTTTCCTAAATTTATGTTTACAATAAAAAATAGTTATAATAATTATGAAAATAACGATTAAAATAATAATAACATAAGTGGATATCTGGTTATTTACAAAGGTTAACTCTTTTAAGGGTCGCACTTCGAGTTGCGAAGCTTCTTGTAGAGCTTCTTGAAGGGCTTCATGGTCTACTGTCTTCAGTTTGACCGTCGTGATGTTTTCGGGAAAAATAGGAATGTCTATTTTTGGTATCTTGAGTTCCAAATTGAAGTTTTCTTTAATGTCTTCGGAAAATGTGTGATTATTGAGGGTCACTGAACATTTTCTTCTGGAGATTAGAGTAGGAGTGGCAATTATCTCGATGTACTTCTTTTGATTGCACTCCATAACTGCTGTCAAACTTCTTTTGGGAATTAACAATAACTGATTGTTAGGTAGTTCTTGAATTGTCGGTTCTTCATAGTCGATTTTCAAGAAAGGATATGTTTGTTGTTCACTATTAATAATACTGTGAACACAGGGCTCGTTTTGGGTTAATGTCTCAAAATTACACAAGTATACACCTTCGACATTAGGGCATTCATTTAAAGCATTAAAGTACGTGTCTGTTGTAAGTAACAAATAGGGATGCTTAATATTATATTAATGGTATAATTCTGGATAGGAATAGGATAGAGTTTATACATCAAAAAAGGTTTTGGATTTATTTTTGGTGTATAGATTGTAAAAAGTAAAAATAATCAATTCCTTTTGAATGCTTACTGTTGTCGACATTGTTTCGTAATACTTTATTACGTTGTCAAATGGGATTTGCTGATTCTTGGGTATGTTTTTAAGAATCTGGTTGAGTTCATTGTGCTGCAATATAGTATAATGCATAATGCCTGATTGTGCAAAGTTGATAGCGAGTTGTATATGATTTATCAGATCTCGTATCTTGCTACTATGCATATTAATGTTATCAAGTATCAGGTTCAAAGTTATAATCGTCTGGAGGTTCTGATTATTCGCAGAAATATTTTTAATTCTCTGAGAAATAATAACTTGATTGTTTTCTATGTTTAGAAATTGGTCATGAAAGGTCTTCGTTACTTGTTTAAGAATTTGTGCTTGATCTTTCAAATTTTCATTGATTGTTTGTTGATTTTCGTTCAACGTTTGAATGTATGAGTCATATCTAGCACCGTCTTCGGCGTCAAGTGTTCCGTACAGCCATTTCTGTGCTGTTCCCACAAAATTCAAGATTCCGCGCTTACTTCGTTTTCGCGAAGAAAATTGCTTTAAGAACTTCTTTATTGAATCAATTCGGGATTGACTTATTTCAATATTTGCTTCGAATAAAGCAGCAATATAGTCTTTAGACCATGCAGTTTGGTTTAAAGTACTGTTTAAATTCTTAAGCGTTATTTCAAGATTTCTAATACTTTTCTTTATAATAGTTGTATTAATATGGTAGTATGCAGTATTATGATCGTTTGTTATGTAGGTCCTTCCTATAGATATTGGTAATATAGGGTTTTCTACTGGTGTTAATATGTAAGAATTGGTTGTGGTTCCTACGATGATGATGATGACGAATGTTGCCAGGAACATTTCGGTTGGTCTGAAACAAATTGTTTTGGTTGTTTAGGTTGTCGTTTTACGTTTTGTTTACTAAATCGTAATTGAGTATTGACGTCATATCGAGGGCTTGTTTTATTTCTATCGAATTGTTTGATAAAAATAGGTTGTTCAAGTTGGGGTTCTGTTTCGCGCTTTTTATTGATCTTCTCTAAATTTTGCGTTTGTTTTGTTATTAGTTTGTCGTGAATAACGTTATTTAGAGTTTCTAAACAGTCAGCGAGGTTATTGATATAATCCGTCGTTATTTTGTTTTGTGAATGTTCGATGGGAATCGCATAGTTTAAATCTCCTTTGATTATTTGGAATGGGGTGTATCCTGTGACACTGTGTATGCTATTATTGTAATTTAGAATAGCAACAATCATGAGATCGTTTATGCTTTTACGTGGGTTTTGCAACCTCAGGCTGGTTATACTTTCTCGTAAAGTAGAGTGTAGCCTTTCGATTTGACTGTTAGAGTTCGGACTCCTTGGGGTCGTGTAATGAAACTCAATCTTATGTAAGGTACATAGGTCGGTCATCATTGCATTTTTGAATTCAGCTCCATTGTCGGAGGTGATTCTTTGGGGAATTCCGTGATTACTGAAATATTTTAATAGCTGGGCTATAATTTCAACGGATGTCTTGCTAGTGATAGGAAGAGCTTGAGCGAACTTTGAAAAGCTGTCAATTATTGTTAAGAACTTTTCATTCGAAACAGTATAGGTATCGATATAGAGATGTTCGAAGGGTCTTGATCCAATAGGGGTAGGCTTGAAAATTATTTTGTAGGGTTGCCTTTCGTACTTTGTTTTGTTGCATATCTCACATGCTTTTATGTATGCTTGAACGTCTTTTTCAAGGTTGTGCCAGTAGTATCGTTTTTTCAAAGATGAAACGTTTTCAGTCATTCCACGGTGGGAAGTTTTAGTTTCATGAAACATTTGAATCTTTTCTTTCTGTTCTTCAGGGTCTGTAATGTCCTCTACGAAAGAATTGCAAATTAACAATTTGAAGGAATTAGAATTAAACGATGTTTGTAAAACTCGTAAGACTATGGGCTCTAGATAGTACGGGATACGAGGCCTATTTCATCAAATCATTTTACACCGTCTTGCATTGTTATCATCAGTTAGATAAAATGGTACTGAAACGCACTTGTGCAGGGAAATAGATGGGAGTGGGGGATTTCGCTGAAAAAAATGTTTCAGAAAATGTCGTCATAAATTAGGAAAATATATAATTATACACCGTCTTGCATTTCTTTATTGAGTCAGTTTGTACACAAACAAAATTGAATTACCACATGCAAGACGTTTTTATGGGGGTTTTAGGGTTGCAATAGAAGATGGAAATTGTCAATTTGTGAGAGGGGTGGAAAATCATTTTACACCACTCCATTGTTGATTTAGAT